TGGCTAACAAGCCTCCTTTGGGTTCTGGCTACCTCATTCCTAAATGCTATGAAGGTCTGCAGACTCCTGATTTTATCTTGGCAAATTATCCCTTTGTGTTGGAACTAGGCCTTTATCTCTCCAAACACAGAAGACGTGCAGAGTGGTGTCCGAGGCACAACACGCTTTCAGAGGCCAGGCTGCAGGCAGAAGGCAGACAGATCAGATAAAGAGGCAACAAGATCATCCCACTTTCTAACACTTGATCAACTAATGTAAAGCCATGAATTCCAATCACACAGATGAGCAGACTCTTACTCTGGAGACACTGTCTCTAGAAAACAAAATTTCTTTTGCTTTGTTGATGTTTTAAAAATTTTAAAATTGAAGTATCGTGGATTCACAATGCTGTGTTAGTTTCTGGTATATAGTAAAGTAAAATATTCTATTCCATTATCTTTTCCACTATGGCCTATTGCAGGCTACTGAATATAGTTCCCTGTGCTATGCAGTAGGACGTTGTTTATCCATCTTATATATAGTAGTTTCTATCTGCTAATCCCAAACTCCCAATTTATCCCTCCCCCACCTCCTTTCCCCTTTTGTAACCATAGGTTTGTTTTCAATGTCTGTGAGTCTATTTCTGTTTTATAAATAAATTCACTTGCACTATATTTTAGATTCCACATGTAAGTGATATCACATGGTATTTGTCTTTTCTTTTTCTGACTTACTTCACTTAGTATGATCATCTCTGGGTCCATACATGTTGCTGTAAATGGCATGATTTTATTCTTTTTTATGGCTGAGTAATATTCCATTGTGTGCATATACTACATCTTTATCCAATCTTCTGTTGATGGAACTTTAAGTTGCTTTTCTGTTTTGGCTAATGTAAATAGGGCTGCTGTGAATACATAGTTGGGGTACATGTGTCTTTTCAAATTATGGTTTAGAAAATAAATTTAATGTAGGCAATTACACTACAGTGCCAGCTGCCTATCCAATACTCACTCCAGCTCCTCCTTATAGACCTTCATTTTGATGGTGGCCACATGCTCAGCTTAAGATACTTGCCTCCTCAAACTCCATTTGAGTTGGATGGCCCTGTGACACAGTTCTAGCTAATGAGGCATAAATCAAGAGTTTCTGGGGAAGCTTTCTCCTTTCTCATATAGGTGCCACTCCCAAAGGCAACTACCATGATTAGGAAAGCTAATATTCTAAGGATGAAGAACAGAATGGGTCCCTCAATGGCACTGGGGAGTAGCTTTGCCAGCTATGAACTACCTATCATGTGAAAAATCTCTATTCATAAATCCCTATTAAGTTTCCTGTTAATTGCTGCTGAATAGAATCCTAACCAATTCAAAATGACATTACATATGTATATACACATAATATATATTATGTATACATAAATATCTTTACACTCAAAGATGCAGTTTCCCATCTGATCCTCATAACAGAACTACTCGGGGGTGGACAGCAGCAGGTGGACAAGGTTGTTAGTATTCCTTCCACTCCCATCCAGACGACTTCCTGGGCCTGGGGCATGGATGGTACCTTCAGGCCCGGGTTTTCCTCTCCCTCAAAGCTAATCCCATCTTTTCATCTTCCAGTGTTTCTACCATACGCTCTCCCAACTCTGCCCACTTTTTTCTATCCTCTCTGCCACAGCCCTAGTCAAGGCTACTATGACTTCTAGGCTGGATGACCATCGCAGCCTTCTAACTGGTCTCCCTGCTTCTCATCCTGCCGAGGAATCTGTTCTCTCCTACTCGGCCACGGCTAATCATCTCAAATGTACATCTGACCCTATCACTCAGTCACCCCTTTGCTTATCCTATAAGCCCTTCCAGGCCTGGTCCCTGATCATCCTTCCAGCTTTCTCTTTGTGACTCCTGCCCCACCCACGCTACCTTCGACCCAGGCCCTGGTCTCTAGGGCCTCCAGGCCTTTCGCTTCCCTGCTTCACAAGGCCAGCTGTTACCTGACCTTCAGGACTCAGTTCATCTGTCTCCTAGTCCAGGAAGCCTTCTCAGACACCACCAGCTTCCTTCCACATCCAAGCGCAGGTAAGGCTCCTGTGCTCACCTCCGGCCCGTGCTTACACACTGTGCTGGACAGGTCCCTTTCCCTGTCTGGGTCCCTCATTAGACCACACACTACTTGAGAACATGAACCATGACTTATTCATCTTTATACCCAGGCACCTGGCACAATGCCTAGAATACAAGAATGCCTGGAATGAAAGACTAAATGAACAAGCTCCATCTTACAGATGAAGAAACTGAGACTCAAAAAGAGAGGTACCCTCAAGACACTACAGCAAGGGTCAGCAAACTTCTTCTTAAAGGGCCACACAGTAGGAGATATCAGACCTGTGAGCCAAATGTCTCTGTCACAACTATTCAACTCTGCCACTGGTGTGCAGAAGCAGCCACAGATGATACACAAATAAATGAGTGCTGCTTTATTCCAATAAAAGCTCAATTCCACAGGCTGCAGTTTGCTACCCTTTACTAGAGAGAAAATGACTCACTCGGAGTCTGACAAACAGTAAAGATCAGAGCTAAGACTCAGACCCAGGCCCACAGGGCTCCTCCTGGCACACTGGGCTGCCTGTCAGCGGGGATCGCCAATTCCCTACATCTCTCACCAGGCTGACTTTAGGTGCTAGGAGGGTCCTGATGGGTGACACCATTAGGCAACAAATGAAACTGCTACCGAGTACTGGATAACAAGGAGAGAACAGTAGGAAAAGTTTTATTTTTTAATGCAAATCAGAGTTACAAAAACATCTGTCTTCAATCCTAGCCAGAGTTAGCAGGGCTTAGGCCAAGCTGAGCAGGTAACTACAAGCATGGCTTCAGGAGCATCACAGAGTCCATCACACACCTCCACACACTATCTGTTAACCGATTTTTATCTAAAATGATAAAAACAAAAGGGGCTAAAATCTAGCCTTTTTGTCTCAACTTCCTCCTTTAGGCGTTCTGACCTCCTAAACAGTAAGTCTTGCAAATTGCCTGCTAGTCCAGGGTTTCATTATTCGTTCTTAAACGCCATCTAAAAATTGGCGGCAGTTCAAAATTACAGTCATTTCTGCACATAAAATCTTCAAAGACATCCCACTGCTCTCAGGATAGCCCCAAATCCCAAGCCCAGAGGCCCAGGCCCTGTCCGCCCTGGCCCTGGGTGAACCTCCAGGCTCAGCTCACTGCACACCGTCCTCCACAGCCACAGCCTCCTTCCAGCTCCTGGAGGGCACCCCACTCCCCTTACCCAGCCTGACTCCTGCTCAGCCTTTGGGTCTCAGGGAGGGTCCCCAACCACCCCAAAGCTGTGCTCAGCCCGGTCATGGGCTCCTGGAACCCTGTACCCTCCTCCCATGCGGATCTCACTTCTTCACACTCCGCTTGACCAGAAGTTCCATGAGGGGAGGAACCAGGCCCATCATGGGTGTCTCCTTGCTGAAAGAATGAGTAAATGCCAGAGGGTGCAAACTCTCACCCCCACACTGGAGTCCCCAAACCAGATGTGGGCTGCAGGTGTTTTCTCTGACTTTAAAAGAAGGAAGGATCCACATCATAAAGAAACCACAGGGCTAGGCGCCACTTTGGCCCTCCTTTTGGTCTAAGGCCTGAGTCTCCGTTAGAGAGAAGCACGTGGCCTCCTCAGAACAAAGGAGCCGAGGCAAACCGAGTGTCCTCTGTGCCAAAGGCACCAGCTGAGCTACCGTCTTGAATACCGCCGGGTTCCCTGCAGGGTTTCCAAACCTTCCAAACGACTGGTACTGAGTTACAGAGCTTCTTTAGATCAAAAGCACTATCGCAGCAGCTTTTTTTAAAACGCAGGCGTCAGTGAGCAGAAGTGTGAACTAAACATAGAGGGGGTCTGGGCTTGAAAATGAAGGCATCCCTCAGCTCCCGGTGTCCCTGGAGGGTTAAGACACCCATGACAATGACGTGAGAACCGTCCCCACACAACACATTGGCAGGTAGTTTCTCACTGACCAGAGAGTTAACCTGCTGAAAAATATTGTGATTGGTAAAAACAAGGTTGGCAGGAAAACAGATTAAGAGGAAAAAAAAAATTAAGTCCAAGAAGACGTTCGTTTCCAAAAGAAGTTGGCCGCACACGTGCCAATGCCACTGCTGATTTACAAGAAGTTCGACTGGAGCCTGTGTTCTCTTGAGCAGAGCTCACACAGGGGTTATGAAGCTCGGACCAGCCCTCTTCACAGGCGTGAGAGCTAGCCTGTGCCGGCTAAATCCCAGCGTGCACTCCTTTGACCCCTGAGTGTGATGGCCTGGCCTTTTCACACCTTACTTCAGGGCTCAAGGGTCTGCCTTTTCAGGGCCTGCTCTTCTTCCTGTATGAAGAGAAGGGCCACAAATACAGCCCCACCTCCGTAGTCTTTGCAGAGAGCAGGGAAGGAGGGTGGTCTGTGAATAACTGTTGTCCTATTCTCCCACTTAACAGGGCTCAGCATAACCAGACATGAGAAGATCATGGGGTTTTAACTTTTGATATTCAAACATAAAACCACATTATCTCCACACTGCAACTGGTCAGGGCTGTAGAAATGCCATAGACCCAGGACAAAGTGGAATCCACGTCTGAGAGTTAACGTCGTCCCAGGAAACATCACTGAGTCACAGCGAGTGCTCTGAGAACACCTGGCCCACGTGTACAAACATCTGCGACGCCAGCAGCCCCGCCCAAGCAGGGCTGTGGGACTGTGGTGACAGCACCACCACTGACGGCCCACTGACCTCCGCTGCACCATCTCCCCGGGGGCTTGGCACTGGCCTTGCCCAACTCCTAAGGCCGTCATTAGGCTGGAGCACAATTCTCTATACGGAAGCAGAAGCCCTCAGTAACTATGGAACGCTGCCCACTCTTAAGGGATCATCACCTTTATTTTCATTCTCAATTTCTCTGCGAAGCTGACTTGCTATGTCAAACGGCGACACGCGGAGCACTGACACAGGTCCCCTCCACTTCTGTCCTACCTGTGTTATCTCTGGCCACGAGACCCTTAGAAAAGTCCCCAGGAGTTGGGGAGGTCCTGCTGTCCCACTTAACCACATCCAGGCTGTTGCAATATTCCCATCTCTTCTGCTGAAGCTCTTGTAACCAGTAAGTCATGAGTTGACGGTTAGGAGCCTAAAAAGAGGGAAGGGAAAAAAGTGTTACTGCCACCAACAAGATGAAGAGCTTAAGAAAGTTATGTTGTGTGTAGACACCTTGTCACATGAAAGGGAGAGTTAAGAAGAACAGGTCAAAGAAATTTCAGTTTCAACATCAGTAGCTTTTGCTTGCTACGAGTTGGTCAAGCAAACAGGAATTTTAACATAAAGAAAATCTTACTAATAAGAAACCTTTTAAAATTCTAAAATTATAGGATGATACAATATAACACTTTTCTCAAAAGGCTTCAGGAAGGCTTGTTATTCCTATGCCCTTTCACTCTGAGCACCTATAAACTCTATCCTAAGAAATCCAATCTCACATGGATATGGATGACATCCTTGCCAAATCAAATCAATGGTATTTAAATTCTGTCAGCATCTGGGAGAGTGCGCAAAGAAAACTGCAGATTAGAGATTAGACTGAAGAGCCAAGATATGGAAGCAACTTAAATGGCCACTGATGGATGACTGGATAAAGTTGTGGTATATATACAATGGAATACTACTCAGCCATGAAAAAGAATAAAATAATGCATTTGCAGCAGCAACATGGGTGGACCTGGAGGTTGCCATACTAAATGAAGTAAGCCAGAAAGAAAAATACCATACGATATCACTTATATGGGAAATCTTAAAAAATGACACAAATGAACTTATTTACAAAGCAAGCAAAAACAGATTCACACAGAAAATAAACTTATGGTTACCAGGAGGCAAAGAGGGGCAGTGTGGAGGGATAAACTGGCAGTCTGGGATTTGTAGATACTACCTACTATACACAAAATAGAGAAACAACTAGGTCCTACTGTATAGCACAGGGAACTATATTCAGTACCTTGTAATACCCTATAATGAAAAATAATATGAAAAGGAATACCTATATGTATTACTGAATCAATACGCTGGACACCAGAAATTAACACAACATTGTAAACTGACTATAATTAAAAAAAAACAACTAGATAGAACATCTACAGCAATGGCTAAAATTTTTTTAAGTTGATAATACCAAGTGCTGGAAAGGGTACAGAGCAACTAGAACTTTCATTCACTGCTGTGGGAATGTAAAATTCTGCAGCTCTTTAGAAAACAGTTCGGCAGTTCCTTAGAAACATACACTTACCAAGTGACCCAGCAACCCTACTCCTAGGTATTCACCCAAGAGGAAGAAGAACATATTCACACAAAAACCTGCATGCAAATGTTCAGAGGCTTTATTCATAATCGCCCCAAACTGAAAACAAGCCAAATGTCCTTCATCTGGTGAACAATAAAATGTGGCACTTCCATACAATGGAATTCAGCAATCAAATGGAGAAAACCATTGATTCCTACAACATGGATGAACGTTACACGCACATGCGAAAGAAGCTAGTCCCCAAAGGTGACATACTATACGATTCCATGTATGTGACATTCTGAAAAGGCAAAATTATACGGACAGAAAACAAATCTGTGGTGGCCAAGACTTGGGTGAAGGGAGTGAATGACCACAAACGGATAACACAAGAGGACTTTTGAGTAACTGACCTATCCTGAACCACGACTGTGGTGGTGGATACACGATTCTACGCATCTGTCCAAACTCAAAGAACTATATACCACAAAGAGTGTGTTTCACTATATCCATTAAAAAAAAATCAACCAAGATGCGGAGGGAACCCTAAACAATGAACCTAGCTATAAAGAAAGGAACCAGATGGCAGGTGTGGGTCACAGGTCTCCAGGCTGTCCCCAGAAAGAAGTCCCAAGGAGAAGGATGCCATGGCACAATTATGGGAATCTCATCACCAGCGGCATCCAGTGAGGTGTGCAGAAATCACACACAATGATTCCCAGGGTCAGAGGCAATGTGGAAAACTGCTCTGCAGGCCCCACAGCAAGGGATAAGCCAGAGACCAATCCTCTACTGTCCACAAGCAAAGGGCAACCTCCAGGTGCTCTGGCTACAACTTAGGGTCTTTTTAGTAACACCTGCACACATAGCCCCAGGTAAGGATAACCGTTCCCTACAGGATCTCTGGGTATCTTACAAAAAATTCTTCTGAACATCAAGAAGCCGTCATTCCATTCATCCAAGCAACCAACATTTACTATCAACATTTATCTATCAGGTACCTGGAATCGGGGCTTGTGGGAAAGACAGGAAAAATAAATCAATAGTTTCAAGAGTGTGTTAAATGCGATGACAGGGACCAGAGTGTGTGAGGTGGGGCTGGTGTGACTGGAGAGCACTGAGGAAAGATATCTAACCAAGCAGAGGAGGTGGGGCAAGGGCCAAAGTACCGAGAGTCTAGGAAAACTGCTATCTATAGATTCAAAAGGTTCACAGTATTGGCTTAATGTTTGTCTTCTCCAAGAAGCATAAACTCTGAGATGCCTCTATTTTTCTAGCATCAAGCTCAGTACCAGACACATATGTGTTGAATAAATAAGTGAAGAAATAAATGAACAAATAATCATGAAGTGATGCAGAAGCTTGATCTTAAAGGAGAAGCAAGTAGGGGCCAGGGGAAGGGTGGGGGTGGAAGGGGGCAGGACTGAGATACGCAGGGACCACACCCAAAGGGACTCAAGTGCCTTCCTGGATTCTTGGCAGGGCAATGATGAGATCAGACAAAATCAATGCTCTTGAAAGAGCGGGGAGGGCAGAGGTAGGTCGGGGCAGGGTTCAGGTAGGGGAGGAGATTCACTCAGGCCCAGGAACCCTCAAGTGCAGCTGGAGTCTGAGTAGCGGTTTGGTTGCAGAGTGGATGGTGGGGGCTTGGCCTAGCTCTCAGGCAGGACAGAGAGAACCCAGCACTCTGAGAGGAGGGGAGAGGGGACTGGAAAAGCAAGAGGCTGGGAGACACAGCCAAATCAGAGCCCAAAGCCCACCTGGTCCGTCCTTCCACCTTTCAGAGTCCATACTGAGCCCCCAGTCCCTCAACCTCCAGCTCAGAGGAAAGTGTGTGTCTGGGCAGTGTGTGCATCTGTGTGCAGATGTGTGCATGTGCTCTGGTCCTCCTACTGGCTCCCCTACCTGGCCCCCATCCCTGTCTCAGGGAGAAGGCCACACTGGGTCAGATCCGTCACTAACCTCTCCAGCTGTTCCTGCAAAACAGGCAACATGAAAAATCTGCTTTTTACAAGAAAGCCCTTTCCCTTTAAATCTCTGAGTCTTAAATCTGACTGGGGAACAATTAGTAACCTCTTAATCATCTCTCACCAAATTCCTGGGGCAAAAAAACTTTTACATCACATGCTTTCAGTGTCTGACAAATTATTCATGTTACAGAAATCTGGTCAATAAGGCAGGCAAAACTGCCTCGAGACAATGATTAACAGGGGTTCGCTTCCTTTTTAAAAAAAACAGCCATCATTGAAAGCATCACGACTTCAATCCCCAAGCAGCTGTGAAAGGCTGCTGGAGGGGCACGGCTCTGGGGCACATGCCACCATCAAGGCGGCAGGAAGGCCCCCAAAGGCACCGCCCTCAGGGAGCTGAAAACTCAAAGACAGGAGCACACACAGGCTATAAGGCAGGGCAGGATTCGAAGTAAAACACAGCAAAATCAGCAGAAATCCACGAAGCCTCTGTGTTTTCCATTTGATACGTTTTAAACAGAGACTGAATTGGGATTTGGCCTTGTTCAGTCCTAATTAGATGTAGAATCACAAACGAGTCCCTTCATTGCCCGAGTCTCAGTGAGTCACGTAAAGCTAGTCTAGATCTGCCCCGTCCAATACAGTAGCCACCAGCCACACATGGCTCGTGAGCACGTGAGGTGCGGCTTAGAACCACATGATGAAATACTATAGATGCACTGGGTGAAATAAAATATATTAAAATTATTTTCACCTGTTTAATGGGGTTATCCAAAAACCTAAAAGTATATATCTGGCTTACACTGTATTTGTATCTAGCACTGTTCAATCATGATGGCAAACCAATTTCGTTTGGAGTGCTAAGGTTGGTGGGAGATCTGGCTGGGTGGGAAATGGCTTTAGGAATGGTCAAGGGCATAGGGTTCTTGGGAGTGTGGGGCAGCCGACATTATTCACCCACTACAGGACTCTAGGACTCAAGATATCTTTCTTCTTTAACTAGGCACCTCCGTATCTCCAACCACCTCATGCTCTGTGAATGTCCATGGAGATGCCAACATTCTTTAGGGACCCAAAAGGGTCTGGCTGGTGTGGCTGATGGCTCACAGTTTCAGTACCATTACTGCTCGCTCCCAAAGGAGAACAAGTAGGACCTTCGAAGGATCTGGCTTCATAGATGGCACCTCAAGGAATCTATCACCAGAGCTTCTCCCACTGAGCTGCAGCCCAGCTGCTGACAAATTAGCTAGTCAGTGCTGAAGCTTATCACCACCACCAGCATGACCAGGAGAGAACCAGTATCTGCCCTACCCTACCCTAAATGACCATTTTAAATGCTTTAGTCCCACATTCTGGAGAGCCAGACAGACATTCCAATCATGCCGGAAGGGACAGAGACAGGGCAAAGCTTCAAAGCTCAGCAGAGAGTGAGCGCCAATGACAGGCAAGCATCCAGCGGGCCAGGTGTCAGTATCCGCTGTCCAAAGGCTCACTGGGGCCATATCCTGAGTCTCCCATAACACCCGTCTAACTCCTATTCATTCTTCAAAGCCCAATACAAATACCACCTCCAAATAAAGTCTCCCTGACCTGAGCCTTCATGTCTTCTCCACCTGTGGAATGGGGAGCTCACAGCACCATGTAGCCCAAAACAGCGTCCCACGGCAGAGGGGGATCTCCCTGCATGTTCTTTGCTAGTCTAAGTTCCTTGAAGACACAGGCAAGACCTGCTGGCCTCAATAAGGTCCAAGATGCCCAGCACAGTGCCTCGAATAGTTAATCAAGCATCAAATATCTGATTCATTCTCTCCTGCGTTCAGCTCCTGCTACTTCCTCAAGACTGCTAACACTCTAGTTCAAATACAGCACCAATACCAACATGAGAGA